CCAGCCAGCGCCCCAGTATGGAAACTGCACTGTAAGAAGTATCACTCCCTGGATAAGATTAAAACCACTTGCGTGAGCCGGTTCTTAAGATCAGGGGTGTTAACCCTGGCTAAATTCCTTTCTGGCACTGCGGCTGCAATGCGGGGAGGAAGACTGGGCCCCTTCCTCTGTGCGACGTGCTGTGGGATCCTTTGTGATAAACAGAGCCAAGACAAATGCGCCTACTGTATCGATCTTTAATAAGCGCAGGATTGCATGCCGCTGTATGTTTGCGCCAGCAGCAGCACAAAAGTGACAATTCCATACAACCGAGAAGCTCTCGTTAGCCCGAATCACCAAGAGACAAACCCGACTGGCTGATTGAATTTACCTCAATAAGGCCCGACTGCATCATTAATCGACTGGGATATCAGTTGCTTTCTGTTAAGCCTCTCTGATTTGTCGGTGACCAACACCCAGCGGATAGGTTAGATCTGGGATCGGGCAGCTATGGCCAGGCTGGGCTGTAACTGCCCTCCTTTAGGAGCCACAGACGCGTCCAGGACTGGTGCCCCCTCCTGAAACTCCCCGAGGAGCTCGTCACACAGACCCCCCCCTGCGCTGTTTTCGCTCGCCCAGCTCTACAGCCCTCATCTAGGGGGGGTGGGATCGATGGCAGGCAGGCAGCCACGCTCTCCCTGCAGAAGACGATCCGGGAGGCATGACAGGAATATGTTACCAGCCGGGACGCGCGAGCCTTATGAGATTTTCAGGTTGGCGGAGTGTGAAACGCAGAGAGGGGCGGGCGGGTTTAATGAGCCAGCGAGAGGCTGGCACAGCGGTGGCCCCAGCCGAGCTGAGCCGAGCTGAGCCGGCGATGCCCGCCGCGCGAGCGACCGGCGCCCGAGGCCAGAGCCTCACGGCGACCCACAGGACCGGTTCACCTCCCGCCCCCGAGACGGGCCCGCCTGTTGACCGTCCCGTTGTGTGATGACGTAAAAAGAAGAAAACGATGGCAAGCGCGCACACGGCGCCCCAGTTCCAGCCAGGCCCCTGGAGGTCCCGGGAGACTGACAGGCGCGCCTCAGTTCTCGACGGCGTGTTTGTTTTGGCAGAATAAAGCTTGCTTCCCCGAACGCTCGCTTTGATCGAGCAATTATTCCTTTAGAGACGCTCCGCGCGCTAATGATGCCAGGGGCTGTGGGCCGCTTCGTCTAGCGCTGAAGCTTTCAGGAGGTGCTTCAGGGAGGCAGAGAGAGAGAGAGAGCAAGACGGCGCCGGACAGCTCGGCCTGGGATGAAAGCCCCAGCCCCGATGACAGCGCTCAGGTGACCGGATCACGGGAAGGACGCCGCGCCCTGCACCAGGACAGTCCTGCAGTAAACCTCCTGCCTGCAGAGCTGCGCTGCCCGAGCCCCAGGAGGCCGGGGAAGAGGCGCGGGTCACCCGCTGACACGGGCGCAGACCCTAGTAACACCACCAGCGACTTCCAGGACCTGTAAGCTTTCGGAATCAATAATCAGAAGCAGAGGACCAGATGTGTGGCAGCAGGATTCTACAGGATAATCGTCACGGATATAGAAATGGTCGGGCTCGTTTACTGAAATGAAGTGGATACTCAATGATTTTTTAACTTTTAATTTTGCCCCCCCCTTCATTTAATGCACATTTACATTTATTACATTTTTAACTTAATCGGCACGGAGCCCTGAAAGGCCACAGCCAGCGAAGCCAGCTTCAGGGCCCGATCCACCCTCTCGGACAGAACCAGCGCTCGGAACGGGACCGGCCCCCTTGCACCCGGTTGTCCCGACTTTTCACACCGAGGGCGCTCTGTGCATCTGTGGCCCCACCTGGCCGTTTCCGCGACGACGGCCCGGATGTTCCCATCGCCCTCCGCTGGACAGCGCGGTCCGGCTCTGCCCGGTTTCCCGTCCCTGTTTTGAAATCTTTCTCTTGTTTGCGGCGGGGGGGGGGGGGACCCCGTGCTGGTCACCACGTCAGTGTGGTCTTTAATCCTTAATTTTCCACTTTAACTCCACAGCCAGGCAGCAGCGGCAAACTCTCGCCGTGTGATTTTCTGTGGGGGTCGTGTACAGCGCGCGCGCACACACACACACAGCAGATTGTGCTCAGCCGGCAGGCACGGTCCCCTCACCCGCCAAATCAACTCATCTGTGAAATTAATTACGATCCGGCGACATCTGACGCTTCTGGAATACAACAGGAAACTCGGAAAGATGAGGAGAAAAAAAGCCCCGCGCACGATCTGCAGAAACGGCCTTTTTAACAGCCTCTTCTGCCGCCGATGCATGAAATACTGCTGGTTTCTAATTAATTCTCCAGGTGAACGATAGGGAGGGGGGTAGGACGCGGAGCCTGGGGCTCAAGCACAGCCGGCTCCGCTGTCCACCCACCGGCCCGGGGCAAGGAGACGGGCAAGAGGCCACACCGACTCATCAGGGCGCGGGCCGCTCGTGAAAACCCCCTGCCCTGCGCGCCGGGCAATTACCGTCCGGCCGCGCCACGCGGATCAACAGAACGAAGACGTCGACGCTCAACAGCCCGAGGAAGCGTAGCTCTCGGGGCTCTCACTTCTTTTAATCAGTAACAAGAACGTTCTCAGCCCTTCTGCAGAGCCCAGAGGGACTGACCTTGCCAGGCAATACAATGTTGGAGGCACGCTATATCCATCTTACAATTCTAAGTGCTTTCAATTGCAAATACCTGCAAGGACATAAACAGCATTTCAACCAAGATACTATCATTTCTTTAGCAATGGAATTCCTTTACCTTGACCCTGCTTAACACTTTCCTACATTCAGTCTTTATGCAAGCTGAAGCAATGCCTACACAATTGCTTTTTTGCCTAAAGTCAGGCACACTGTCTAATGTATTCTTTGCACAATCCTGTAAAGTAAATTGCACTTCACGTACCCAGTCAGAAATGTAAATGTCTACATTGTCTATAGCATCGTCCTGTCAGTGCCTCGTCTGTATTCGCACCATAGACCTGGAGAAACGAGATCTCGCTCCTCTATATACTTGTTTATGGCTGGAATGACAAACTTGAACTTTTACACCGAGGTTAGAGACGTGCTTCTTGAAGGCCACAGTTTGAGGCTGGTCTCTAGTTTGAACTGTCGACCAGTGCACTCATGGAAAGAGGCTAAGCTCTCAGGGCATCAACAGAAAGCTCAGGTGGACTGACAGCCAGAAAAGCACAGCCCCCTTGAGGCCTGGAGATGTGCTCGTTTGCGGCAGGATCTCTGCACACAAACAGCTTGCAAATTCTGGCACAAGCTCTGCAGCACAGTGTCCTGGGGTAATGTGCTGCCTTCCATGCCCCAGTGACTCCCTGAGGCTTGCTCTGATTCTCTGTGCCAAATACCAGAGTGCTCATCGGGGACAGCAGGCACAGACGCCAGTCTGGAGGCACCTGTTGCAGAGTTCAATGATGTCCACCTGTGAGGTCTGCCTCACATACACACACACGGGAAATGAGGGCATTTCCATTTCCAGTCTATCTGCGCTACGAGAAGACACACACTCCTGCTCAGCGCTGCACACGGCAGAATTATCAGAAACCTTGCTCACATGTCCATTCATTCCCCACATGTCCATCCCAGTACCGACCAGCCTCAGCTTCAGAATCATGTCCCAGGGCTGTCCATCCCAGTACCGACCAGCCTCAGCTTCAGAATAATGTCCCAGGGCTGTCCATCCCAGTACTGACCAGCCTCAGCTTCAGAATCACGTCCCAGGGCTGTCCATCCCAGTACTGACCAGCCTCAGCTTCAGAATCACATCCCAGAGCTGTCCTTGTCCTTTTCTACTAGCTTTCCCATGTCTTTTGGACCATGGGCCTTATTTCTGGAATTCTTTGAGGAAGCAGCCTCTTCCATATGAGCAGATGAGGGGGGGGATAAATATATTATACACAAAAATAAATCGTTATAAAGTTGCCGAACCTGAAGCCTTAACGTTTCTCACGCAGTTCAATACTAGAACACGGCCCAACTGGGCACCATCATCATCATCATTCACTCGCTTTGTCCTTCAGTTGTAGTTTTATTCTATTTGACTTCCAATCCCAACTGTTGTTGGACTTTTTTTTTTTATTTGGTTCTTCCGGATCAGCTGCTTTCCAACGTTTTCCAGAATCCCTCGGTTTCAAAATCCGTTTTCCTCCAAGGAGATAAAGGGAAACAGTAAATGAAACAGCTGGAGGAATTTCAGGAAGAGGAACGTGTTTTGAAAGGAGGACAGATCCAGCTCCCGCAGAGCAACAGCTCGATCCGCTCCAGGTTTTCGAGGATGCCGGCGCGGAAATACATCCAAATTCAGCTCCTCTCTACGCAAATTCACGTCCTAATAAACATCCAGTACCTCTTGTGGGGTTACACAGAATGTTTCAAATAGGTCTTTAACCCAATGAGATTTTTCAGAAGCTCATCAGCCTGCTGCGGAACGAAACTTTTTAAAGCCACGGGTTCCACGCGTGTGAGTGCCAGAAACACGGTGTTACCACGCAGGTCGCTTGGACGAAAGTTAACTCCCAGATTTCTACCGCTGGACCTGGAAAACGCAAAACTGGCAAAGCACCGGGATTACAGGGATGCGCACATATACATACACACACACAACGGGCGCATTGAGCCGGGAGTCAGCTGACTGTCAGACGGGTGAAAGCAGCCAAGTTTTAAACGCAAGACCGCCATCGCCCCCAGAACATACCAATAATATCGATTCCCTTTCAACTCCAGCATCCTGAGCCCAGGGCACCCGGCTGGTTAATGGTATTTCAGGGTAAGTTCATTTACACACACCGCTCCCCAGCGGCTGCGGGGCCAACACAAGGAGGAACATTTTTCTCGGCGACGAAAGCCGGGCGCCTCCACGCACGGGAGACCCCAAGACAACGATTAAAAAGAAATCCAGGGCGACCCCGCGGAGCCGGCGGCTCAGAGCACAGCGCAGCCCGGGCGGCACCGGCCCCTGTGAAGCGGGTCGCGGCTTACCTTGCAAGGGAAAGGGAGCGTCGAGGCCACCTTCTCCATGGCCAGGTTCCTGATGCTGGGCGTGAGAGGGCCGCGACAGGTCGGGCAGCAGCTCAGCTTCTGCCGGCACTGGTTGCAGACGAGGTGGCCGGCCTGGCACTGCAGGATCGGCGGCAGGACGTAGTCGAAACACACGGGGCACTCGAACAGCGCCGTGAGCTCCGCCGCCTGGCCCGGCAAGGCAGCGGCCGGCAGCGCGGCGGCGGCGGCTGCAGCCCCGGCTGAGCCTCCGTGCTTGCCGCCTCCCGCTTTGCCAGCGCCGAGCCCTCCGCCCCCGCCGCCCGCTGAGGACGGACGGCTCATGGCGATCGATTCAGTTCTCCCCCGGTCTTCCAGTCGAAGCTCAAAGCCCGAATTCCCGTTTCGTAATCCAGAAGAACGCCGCTTCCCTATTCCTTCCTAAACAATCTCTGTATCCCCCAAGACACAACATGGCGGCCGCCGTTTACAGGGGAATCGAAAGACCATTGGTTCCTTTTTCCGTGATTGACAACTTGTCAGCCAATCACTAAACGATATCGTGGACGTAAACGTAAAACGTAGCAAATAGGGCACAGAGAAATCCGCTTGGAGCGTAGGGCTTTCTGGGAAATGTGGTTTTAATAACAGAAAATCAGAGAGGTCAGATTTAAAGGCATTTTTTCACACACAAAGGCAAACAGGTGCTTTTAAAGCCACAGTACAAATTAAAAGCTTCACGGATTGCTCTAGCTAAATGTCTTCTGTAATCTTTTTTTTTAAATTACTTTATTTTTACTCTTCATTAAATCAAGTGAAGATTCATTAGTCTGGAGTGCAGACCTATCAAAAAGGCTTAAAAAGGAACCAATTTCGAACAAGATGTGAAGCTTCAAATGTGGGTGGAGATTAAGAATACTAGAAAAAGATGTGCTCACTATATTTATAATATCACTTAGTGTATAATTTATTGCAAAAGTGCCTGTCCTCATCAAACTAGTTCTACAACATTAGTGAGAGTGGAAAATCAATGCAGTTTTAGAACGTTCTGTCTTGTAAAACAGAAGAATGCTATGCTTGTGTACATACATTAATACTGGTAGACAGGGTAACACAACCTAAGTCACTTTAGAGTGACAGTCCTACATTAAAGCTGCCTTGTTCAATGAAATAATGTTAATATGTAATAACCTGAATATTTAAATAAGATTACTTTATTGGCCACATACAATTTCTTGTATTAGGAATTTGCCTTTTTTCGCAGACCCCAGCTTGCTCTCCATGAAACACACAGACAGAGAGAGAAGTTTGGGGTCAGACATTTATACAGCGCCTCTGGAGCAGCTGGGGTTAAGGGCCTTACTCAGGGGCCCAACTGAGTAGGTTCTAATGACATTACAATACTCCACTGCAGCATATTGACATGGAAAAATATAACAATATATGGGAATTTTAGACAGATCTCTTTTCCTTTCTCTGGAATAGCCCTGGTCCACCTCTACAGTGGGTACCTAGGCAGTAAATTGGTAATTGTAAAAATACAGGGAGGGTTTGTCCCAATTAGTATTTAAAAGATTATAGAGACCCAGTCAACACAAAAAGTGACACCAGTGCTCTTTGCAAGAAGGAAAAAAAACAAGATCTAGATCAGGGGCTCTTACTTAAACCAGATGCTAGAATATCACGGTAATTAAATAAAAAAAACACATTAAATGGACAGGACATATGATCACGCATTTGAATACACTTATTCCTGCACAAAAATATTGTCTCTGAAGATAGTTTATCTGCCAAAAAAAATCAACAAACTATGATGTTGCCAGCTATAGATAAAAAAGATACCAAATCCATAAACAGGTATAAGTCAAACCACATTTAAGCACAAACACAACACACATTACACAGCAGAAACAGAAAACGCAGCTCTGAGGTTTAAGGAAATACGGCTTGTGTCTCCTTTTTCCTCCTTCTATACCCAGGGAATACAGGAGGAAAGGCTGGTTCAATTGAATTACAGGGTCCAGTGACAGCAAATTCTCTTGTTTTCCTCAGATAATTACAACGGAACAGATGGCGCTATAAATGAGTAATCAGATCCAAAGAAGATTCTTTCCTTATGGGAAATATGGCATTGAAAAGGAGAAGGAGAAAGATGATTGGCTTGAAAGCAGAAGGCAGAAGCTGCGGAATATTTTCTCAGATAATGAAGGCTGAAGCTAATGTGATGTGATGGACCTGCTTTTCACAAAGAAATAATAAAAACGTCCGAACCATACACTCAGAACATCGTCCACATTCAATCTGCTTTCAAGCTATGAGACAGACAAGAATGTTGATAATGAAAATCTTTATTGATTAAACTTATCATTAAACAGTAGTCTTCCCTTGCGGTAAAGTAAAGGTACAGTTGGTGACCCTGGGTTGAGACAGACAAGGCCAGGGTAAATGGAGCCCCACAGCACCACACCAACTCCTCCTGACCAGGTGCCCGGTGAGGTGGGGAGGAGGTCGTCTGAGCTGACCCCCATCCTCCTGGGAGCTGACATTTTTGGTACCAGCTGTGCTGGCCAAAAAGTTCATTGTAGGAGAAATGTCTGGGCTGGGGATGCAATAGGGGAACATCTGGGGATTTTAGTTAAACCATGTGGTGTAATTTGGAGGGGGCAGATAAATTTGATTTGGAACAGCTAAATAATGGAGGGAGTATAAATTACGGAAGAAAATGAGGGCAAAAACATATGTAGCTCATTTATCATTTTTTAAAATATTTTTAAATCCATTTTTTTGTGTTTTTTTGATTGATTAGTCAGAGCGGTTTTTGACGCAGCACATTCCGCACACCGCCTTTCTGATTCTGGAGAAAAAACGTCGGACGCGGCTCTTCGATTTCTTTCTCTGAGTTTGCAGGGCAACTTCTGAAAAAAACAAAACCAAGCGATTTTTTTTTTACATTGTTCGTCTGGTCAAACCGTTGGGGTCACTTTTATTTTTTGAACAAAATCTGGCTGTTTTCTAAAAACGCGTGGCATATCCGTCAAATTTTTCAGAAACTCAAGAAGCTATTGCTTATACGCTCAAACCCCTACCCCCCTACCCCTTCGATGCAGGATCCTTGTGTGGGATAACATTTTGGAGTCAGATATCCATCTTCTCCCTCAGTTATTATACAGTTAATAAGCACTAAGGGACGTACCTATTGGGGGTTCGTCAGATTGCTCCCCAGAGTCTGCATCTTCATTGACTTCATCTGCAATTGCAAGCTGTGTCTGAAACAGAAAGGGCACGCACCCACACCGTTACAAAAACCACCCCAAACTGCTTTCAGGAAACGAAATTCAAAGATTCTAAATGCTGCAGAGGTTCAGGGAGAGCATGAAATCTAGCTTTTCTTTCAATGATTAAACACAGCAGCATTCCTTTTTAAAATGAATGATGACTTGCGTCTTAACCCCTCGACTGCCCATAGTTGTTGCAAAGTTCCTGCTTTTTTAAAGACAAGACAAAACTATGATTATATGCGTTCTTGAAAGCAAATGCCAACAGCTAATCATCCCACTTTAAGCTGTAAGCCTTTACCAGCTGTAAGCATGCTCTACTTTCTTGGGAAGACATGAAATCTGCATTACCTCTGTTTGTATCTGTACATCATGGGGTGTTTCATCCAGCCCTGCAGCCTGTGTGTCTTCCTGTCCCTCACTGTCCGGGGCCTCCGGGGGACTGATAGGTGCTGCAGTGTCAGGTTCCTGTGGGAGGCTGGCCATGATTTTCTCAAACGCCTCACTGAGGGAAATCTTGTTGTCAGTATCAACAGGGACCAGCTGGTCCACCTTTTTTGAAATCTCTCCAATCTGTTGGATGCTGAAGGCAGGTCTAGTCTCATTGATAGGATGAACAGATTTGCCACACAAAAGCAATTTCTTGGTCACAATCCTGGAGACCTTCTGGTGCTTGGCCTTGCTCTCATAGATTGTATCAACCGAGAAAATACCTTGTTTCTGGGAGCCCTGTGTGAGCTCATGGTAGACTGAATCTGCTATCTTATGGACCATTCGCTCCTCTGCCTTTTGGTTCATTCTTGTGTTGAAGTGGCTAAAGACATTGTCTCTTCCCTCTGATAACGCAATGTCCTTCATCACTGATCTTAGCAGTGTATCTTCCAGTTCATTCCGCTTAGAGATGAGTTCCTTATCATTGACTGGCATAATAGGGCACAGTTTCCACAGCAAAATGTTCAGAATGTCTCTTATGAAATGTTCAGGCACAAAAAACATTTGATATGAGGCTGCAAGAGACATGTTTATCCTGGGTCTTATGGAAGCAAAGGGATCCACCTTGCATAGTTCTAATCTGTCTTGAGGCAGAAGAAAACTTCCAGGTTTTATTGAACCAAGAAGGATTGCTTGCTGACGCTTCAAGAAAGTCATGGCATAATCTTCTGCCCCTTGCTTGCAGGCTGTACCTGAGTGCCTCGGAGCAGTGCTGATGATCTTGTGAGACTCATGGGGTAATGGACTGTAATGGACACTAACTGAACTGTATAGTTTCAATAATTCACGGATAACAGAGGTGGGTATTTTGTTGAGTACTGACTGACTTCTGGTTGCAACTGCTTTCTGGAGATCAGGCTTGGAGCCAATAGTCTCAAGCATTTCCCTGTGAATGAAATTCACTACCTCTTTAATTACAGAAAGTCGAGGAAAGCCATTCTCTTCTCCCTCTTCACTTCCAATAGACACTCCTTGCATCTGGGACAACTCAGTCTGTGTCTTCTCAGTCAGGTCCAGGGCAATCTCGCAGAGCTGCGATTTCGTCAGGCAGTCTGGATGCCAATAGAAGTCGTGGGGAGGTGCTACAAGAGGGTGCATTTTCAGAAGAAGTCTGGCGATGATGTGCTCAATCAATCCAAATGGCAAGACAATATCCTCAGTGGTGGGGGAGGGAACTGTTCCATTCACATTCTCCTGTTCACTGGGCGATGAAGTCAAATCCCTATCAGTAGACTGGGAGTCCTTTTCGGGGACAAAAGCAGGGGGCACAATCGCGCACATGTCTGTTTTCCTTTTTATTATCTCATTGACCACAAACTGAACAATGTCTTTGTAGACTGACTTATTCTTGGATGCTACTCCAAATTGGAGAATCAGCTTGGAGCCAGATTTCTGCACCAGTTGCTGAAGAACAGATTGCACAATTCTTGTAATGTTGAGTGGTTTGTAACAACTGCTTCCTTCTTTATGCTGGGTGATCTTCACCCCCGGAACAGTTGACAGCGTCTTCACTACATCATCAAAGAGGGAGCTAACAGGCAAGCTGGACCCAGCCGGGCAGGGCTGCTCTCCTTCTTTGAACAGGTTAGGGTGCATTTCCAGAAGCAGCCTGGTTATAATTTCCTTCACCGTTTCACAATTTATCTCAAATTCTTCACAGGAGAGCACAGATGATACTGATGGTGAACTTTCACTGCTGGTGGACCCAACATCACTCACTGCAGACTTGAGAACTTTGCGGGTTTCTTCACTGGAGTGGGACTGGATGGATGAGGTAGAGCTAGAGATTGAGCTGGATGAGGAGTCACATCCCGAAAGAAAGATCTCGTAGATCTGCTTCACAACGGCCGCTCTGATTGCGGTGGTGACTTCCTCACTCCCAGATTTTACTGCCTTCTGCAGTGAAGCTGAGGAGCCGCTCTGTTGCACTAGGTCCTGGTGAGCTGAGTTGACGGCTTTTCTCACACTGGAAGGTTGAGAGTGGAGGACTCTCTTTTCAGTGCCTTGCTCTTTCACGCCTGCACTTCTTGTCTGGTCAGGGGAGAGGTCCTCCAGTACAGACTTCACTAAACCTGCTGCCATGTCATTAAGAGCTGAACTGTATCTGTTCTGCTTTTCTTCATCATGTGTCCAGCAATTAGAGCTTATTTTGAGGAGCAACTTGGTAATGATGTCCTCTACAATATCAGATGCTATGATGGACACACAAGTGGAGGGTGCTGGGAGTTTAATGATTTGGTCTTGGGCAGTGGTTGACACCACACTAGATTCACTGCTTTTGCAAGCAGACTGAGATGGGGCTGAATCATTTCCAGTTGGTTTCTGAAGTTTGAAAACCTTCCTAGCTATTGAACTGGCTATCATTTGGACCACAGCCTCACTTTTTGAAGCTACAGTTTCCTGCAATGCGTCAAAACCAATATGGTACAACAAGACCTTGTACACAAAGATGGCGACCTTGTTAACAGTGCTTGTTTCGTGGAATATATTCTTCTGACCAGCTTGTTTGTCTACGGCTATCCCCTCGAATTCTGCCAATTCTTTCAGGACACTGTCAGAAAGATCCAAAGCAATCTGACTCACAGAGGAAGTGGAGGGAAGATCCTTGTCATCTGAAGGGTCTGATTTTCCTACATTGTCACAGTAAATTTTCATCATCAGACAGGACAGAATATCTTGCACTACTTCAGAGTTCAGTATAATGACTTCTGAAGACTCTACTGATCTGTAGGATGAGGAAGATGAAGAAGAAGAATTCTGACTAGCCTTAGACTCAGATTTCGGATTTTGCTCGGATGCAGAGGCAGATGATGGGTCAGCTTTGGTATCTATCTCAGGTTCCAATACCTTTGCTGCTCCTTTTTCTTGTCCTTTGATGGATTTTGAACTCTCTTTTGCAGAGCATTTCGGCTTTTCATATTTGGGGGGCTTAGATGGGGTTTTTGGATGTACCACGATTGTTGTACAACGGTACTTGTCTGATGTTTTTCTTTCTCCTGAGGAGCCCTCAGTGAATATTTTGGGCCTCACTACTTTTTTATCTGAATTCTTTACAGGATCTCTAGACGTCCCTTGAACTTCAGTGGGTTTGCCATCAGCTTTGGAAGACTTTCTAATGGCTCTGCCTCGCTCTTCCTGCATGTTGTTACTGGGGCTGCTGTTCGCATGCTTGTTCCGTTTATTACAGCTGTGTGAACTGGCTTGCTTGCTGCCACCTGCAATCGGAAAGGCACTTTTATGCTTACACAATGTTCACTGCAGCAAAATAAAATGATCTGAAAGCTTAATTTACACTGACTAAAGTCATTTTAAAGATCACAATATGTAAGATTCTAAGATGTAGTTAAAAAACCGGCATAGTTTTCTGGCCTGTAACTTTCCAGTGCTTAAATGAAAAAAAAACAACAACCCTTAGTCACTGCATCTACCTCCCGTTTCCCACGAGTACTTTGCCCTTTGTGGTTAAGAGAACTATGAATCCCTAGTTAATGAAATGCTTACCTTGATCCTCAATGCATGTTGTCCCGGTTTCATAGGTGATGCCAGGCATGAGAGTTCCCATCACAGTTTTCACCAGCAGGTTGGAGAAAGCCGCAAGTATCTCGTGGTATTCCTCTGAATCTGGCCAACCGCACTCCCCAGGCCTCTGGGGTCTGTCTTCCTCTGCCGGCAAGGATCTGCCACTTGAAAGCTTGTGCCTGAAAACCTGTCGCCTCCTCTCCCTCTCATCTGAAGGACAGCTCTTCTGCTTCTGCCTTAACTCACTTGATAGAAGCTCATTGAAGAGAAAGCACTCTGTCAGTAGCTTTTTGACGAATTTGTCCACAACTGATTTTAGAAGCTGAATTGAGGTTGTTGAGATCTTTGCAGCAAAGAAATAAGGTTGGATGTCTTCAGTCAAAGTGGAGCTGTTCCTACTGGACTGCAAGCTTGCACTGTCACGGGCCTCTTCATGACCACTTCCAGTGGGCCTAGTAACCACAGGTTTGACATCCTTCATCACTTTTGCACTTCCATGGCTTTCAGAGCTCAACTCTTCCACAGCAACCTTTTGGACGACTACGTCTGTTTTATTCCCATGAGGCTCAAGCACCAACTTCTCAAAGGTGGGAGCTGTGACACGCTTAAATGTATGCTTGGCTGTTTTCAGGTTCTTAGCCTGGGCCCCAAACTTCTCATCAAGGAGCGATGTGACGGATGATGAAACAGGGTCACGGAATCTGTCCAGCTCTGGAAGGGAGTCACAGGGGCTAAGAGTGTATCTGATCTGGGGGGATGTGTATGCCACTGTGGCAGGGTCCTTCACGCTTTCAATTAGGTTGGTAAACATGACTTCTGTAATGATTGTTGACACTTGGTCAATTGTCAAAGTTGCCTCTTTCCCATGTTTGGCTTTATAGGCTCTCTCAGTCTTGACTGATCGCAGGATCTGACTGACAACATTCTTCACATCAACATGGCTGTTTGACTGCCTCTCCTGAGCATCCTGGCGCATTCCTAAAGGTCCTGAATTTCCAATCAAGCCATTAGAAGTACCTGCACTTGTTGAAGGACTTCTGTCAGTATAAGTTTCTGGAGTACTGAGTCTAGCTGGGGCTGAGCCTGGGGTCAAGGCAGAAATCAGCTCTAGGCAATCCACAGAACAGGGACTTTTGCTGGATGACAATTTCCAAGAACTAGATGATGACAACGTATCTTGGCTTACAAAGGCTTTTAGTTTGCTCACAACTGTGTTTACAAGCTGTCCAGAGACTAACTGGATCTGGGACAACGAAAATGACATTCCAGAGGCTACTGTATCAACTGAACCACTGTCCAGGGACATTGCTTGGACAAATGTTCTGAGTTTAAACTCACTTTCTTTTGAGCAAGTAGTGTCAGCAGAGCCCGAGGCATCAACAAGTTTCTTAAGAATAGCATTCACAATATCCCATGCCACTAAAATTACTTCAGAAGAAGATGAGCCTGACAATTTATCTTCATCACAATGGCTCTGTAACCCAGTTTCCTTAGATTCTCTGCTCCTCCCAACATCAAGAGGAGACAAGGTGGATTTAAGGCGTATAAATTTGGCAGCTGCTTTTTCAATAATGTCACAAACTGGCTGAACCACTGCTCTTCGGAATTTTGATTTAAAAATGTCAAACATCTCTGCCACACCTTCATTGCTGGATAAGTCTATATGGGACTGCACAGTACTCGCTTGTTGGACGACAGTCTTAGAAGGTGCTTTCCCACTCTTCATCATAATCACTGAGGTCTTTGAGGCTTTGTCCCAAGAATCTCTGTTTTTCAGCTGAGCCAGGACAGATGTCACAATCTCACGGGCCTGAAGACTTTCTTTAGATTGCTTTTCCCCTGACAAAAATTTCAGGAGATCTTCTTCATCCATCTGGCACTTAATTTCCTGGAATATGGCACTGACAACCTGTATGCTTAGGAGGTTTATGTCTGTGCTATCACATATTGCACTTTCGGAAGATGGCTTAAAATCAGATTTCTGTTTCTTCTTGCCTCCTAATTTGGGAGCAGTCTGTAGCTGGATTTCAGAGGGTGGTGATTTTACCTCTGTTTTGACATCCTTTTCTTCTTCTGTTTCTGTATTAATCTTTTTCAGGATCAAGGAAATTATCTCATGGGCAAAGACCTCTAGGTCTGCGTCCAGCTCATCATTTTCCACTTTTGGTACCTGAGATCTCATCTCCAATGGGTGCCCTCCCAGAAGCCTACAGGTGGAGCTGGACTCCCCAAAACTGCTCACAAAGGGCTGACCTCCTACAGAGATACAGTGTGAAGTCAGGTTGGAAGGCTGGCAATCCTGGGAGCCTGAGGCTTCACCATCTACCTTCTTATCTGGCAATGCAGATGTTTTCTCAAGACTGGATTTCACTCTTTCAAGGACGGTGTCCACAATGTTATGAGAATAAAGGCTGCTTCTGGAGCTACTGATAAGGGACCCTGGTCCACGACAGGGTGCCACCTGCACGTCTGCCCCTGCAGCCTGTGATTTCACCTCCTCCGCTGCCCTGCAAACCACATGCCACACAATGCTCTTCGCCTTTTGGATAAAGGCCTTGTCATGGGAGAGTGGAGTCATTTCTTCAGTTTTGGCCTCGGGCTGGAGACAACTGACAATGTCCACTGCTTTGTTAAATATATCCCACACAATGCTCTCCGCCTTCTTGATTAGTGATGGAGAGGGGAGGGCCAAAAAGTTAGTCTCTGGTGTCATGAGCCTCATGTCTTCCTCTGTTGGGGTAGCAGAGGCACCGCTTTGAGGTTTAATCTCCCTGGGGGAATCCTGGCCTGTCTCCGGGCTACTTATACTGACTGATGGGGACGCATCAGAGGTCCTCCCAGAAGTAAGAGGTGAGGGGTACAACCAACTCTGAAGAACAGAACTGCTGCTCTCTGCTCCACCCAGATCGGTGGCTTCTGAACAGCTGGTGTTGCTCCGTGTGTGGGACCCCCCCCGCCTTAACTCCTCAAACTCCCGGATGGCAGGAATTAAAATGCTGCTCACTTCCCTCACCACCCACTCCACTAGGTTCTTTGCAACAGGGCTGAGCTCCTCCGCTGCAATCTGTTTACAACAAAGTGAAGCAAAGGACATGTACAGAAAAGAATTCCTAAAAGCAGTAAAATCAAATTCACATGGTTTGAACTATCATCTGGGACGTAAAAAAATTAGAAGGGCTCCTTAGATGTCTCTTTTAGTTTCTTTTAGATGACTCCAAACTGACAAATGTGACACATTCTATTAACATACATGTTCTACTTCCATCTTGGTGTGCTTTGGTTTTGCTGCACTATAGGCTGCAGAGCTGCATGACTTGACTTTCTATGTGTTTTGCACTTGTGCCACAAGGATATAGCACACAATGGAGCAAACAATATGCAAAATACATATACTTATACTCATACACAAAATACTTACAGTCTGTTTGAAATGTTCTGCCACTCTCTTCATTTCCCTGTATAAACAGAAGTGCAGTTTAGACACTTATCACAGTGGGCACAGACAAGGGGTATGTATGGTTAATTCTATTCAGAAGTTTTAGATCCACAGCTTTAATTAAAACCTGGACTTTTTATAGACAACAGAGACGAGAGCTGCCTTTGAATCATCGATCAGCAATTGTCAAGAACTTTAATAATGATGCGATTTCACAACAAATTCTATTTAAATCTAATGCAAATATACAGTGCTAAATAAAAAACACTCCAAAGAAACTCTCAGACAAAAAATAGATAATTCTAGCTCCATGTGTTGCCTTTAAACAGAGAGTACATTTTAAAGACACTCACAGATCAGACTTGACCTTGCTGTAGGAGGACTGAGATTCTAAGAGAGAACTCATGTCTGCTTCAGATGGGGATGAGAAGATCTTTGTTTCTAAAGGGTGGAGAAACAGGGGTACATTCAAAACCTGATCCTATCTAGAACAGACAGAAAAGACTAAACTCATTTCCAAGCTTCAGCATAAAAACTGTGACTACATCCATTCATCTTCATTAAACACTTTATTCTCAGAGCGCCATGTTGAGTGGAGACAAACACAAAGCCTGCAAGGGGCAACATGCTAATTAACCTTAACAGCATGTCTTTGGACTATGGTTGGAAACCACCCATACACGACAAAAGAAGACCATGCAGACTCCTCACAACACCCAATCTGACTACATATTCGGAAAACATAAAATCAGAACCTGACATCAATCCTTCAGCTTCTCTGCTGTGTCTTTCATCAGTATTTTGATACATGCTTATGATTTTTTATGAGCTACACACCCTTTCTCTTATCCGTTATTGAGAGAATCCTTAGGCTTATGATAGTTGGAATGGACTCAACTTTTTTTATTCCATGATTGATTTGAACGTCACTGAGGATTTCCAGGCACCTGTGACAGATGACAGCATCCTCCGTGTGTCCTTAATGGACATTATAGACCACTGAAGTGGGGGGTAGAGGGGCTTATTCTTTTGTAGGCTGTTGAAGAAGGTTGACTCTGCTGGCTCTATTTCTTACCCCAGTCCTGTGGTCCACTGAACATGCTTGTGCAAGGGCTCAAAACAGGGGAGGGTCCTGGGGTGGGTGGGATGTTCAAATCCCCCTCTGTTATTTTCTGTATCGGAAGAAAGAATTGAATTCTTGAAATCGAAAGGCCAGTTCATCCTGCCACCTAAAACAGAGTACACTCTCCCCCATTGAAAACACTACTCCCTACCTGTGTAGAAATTATCCATCACGCTACACCCTGTTGGTGTACGCTACAAGGTCTGATTGGTGATACACCTACACACTCAAAGAACTGTACCTCAGTGCAATTCTCCACTATGTGGGCCTCCGCTGGCATCAGCAGAAGTAAAGACCTACCCCACCCTCATCATACCAAGAAGATTGGGTACCGTCGTAACTCCTGCTGCCCTGGGGTAGGACCAGCGGCGCTCCAGCCGGAGCTCCCTGCGGGCCTCCACCTCCAGCTCCTGCAGCATGAGCCGCTCCTTCACCCTCCAGGTCTGGGCAGAAGACACAGGTCACATGACATGAGCGGAGCACATGCAGTCTTGTGTAGCAAGCACAGGGCCTTCATAGAGGCTCTCTATGAGAGGGCCTTCTCATGTTCCCCAAGCATGTACAGTTCTACATGATCCTCAACCTAACACATGGTATGACCTTGACAGTGACAAAAGTATTATTTTCAATGCTTATCCTTATTATTGGTCTTGAAACAGAAGTCTTAATTTAGTAGTTAGCAGTCAAGATATTAAATGTTGATATTGCATCACAATGTGTACGAATGCATTTAAATATTATGTCAGACTTAATACTGACTACTTAAAAGAGTGCAGTCAATTTAATATTTTATGTATTTCTTTTTATATTCATACATACATATGCCCCTTCAGGGGTTTCAGACACAGATCCTGGTGCCTTCCGGTTTTTGTTTCATTCAGGCTCTCAGTTAATTACCTGGTTTTAATTATTTAATTACCTGCATAATTATAATATCTCTAACCAGGCTCTACCCAAGTGTTTTATAGGAAAATGTACCTTCAATGGAATTAATGTTTTGAGTAAATAGCTGTAAGATATTAAGAAAGGTGTATATGTCTAAAAGAATAATGATGTTAATTATTTATTAGATTCTGGCTGTAAGGAAAACCAGAATACACTGGGCACTGACCACGAAAAGTGAGACCAAAGAAAATCACACCTGAACTGCAGAGTCTTTATAAATGAGTAAGATGAGCCCAGGCACAGATTAAAATGTACAATGAGAATGTTTTTCTGTTTTGCATTATACAATATAGTGTCCCAAATGAAAATGTATGACTCTTACCAACTGAGTGTGGCTCAGGGGCCTCTCGTCTCTGGGCTTGCCATACTGCAGCCTTTGCATAAAACAGAACAGGGGTCACCACAATCAATTAATCAGTCAATCAATCAGTCAATCGATCAATCAGTCAGCCATTCAGTGAGTCAGTCAATCTCAGTCTCTCAGGGCCAGGTGTCTTCTGTTTTTTGTTTTACCCAAGTTTACAGTGTCAATACTTATAAAAAGGCCTAATGATGTCTTAGACATAACTGTACTTTTAATGAGGTGCATTCTTTCAGTAAACAACTTTTAAAAGACCTGAAGAACAATATATTTTATATGTCTAATTAACAAATAATTAAGTTAATAGTTAAACTGATTAACTCAGGTTTAACCAAAAGATGTCCCCCAGGAGGTCTGACATCCCTGATCTATCTAGTACCCATTGATGAGGCAGAAAAGGTAGAACGTGGCAGTTCTCCATTGTTGCTATATTTGACTTAATATACAGTATGCAAAGCAGAACTACTGTACAGCTCTCTTTAGTCTTTTCTGGATTTCAGAGCCCTCAGACAGGGAGAGCTCATTGATGTTCTCTTTCCCATTCCCAAGGGGTGTCCAGTCCTGGTGTGTGCAGGTCTTCAAGGACTGTTTAAAAGCAGCTGTGCCCAAAGGGCTGGGAGAAGCAATTACCTTGGCCCTGTTAAGACAGGAACCAGCAGAGCTGCGAAAAAAGCCTACAGACACCCCTGGACACCCCTCAAGCCCTGTCTATGTAAAAATCCATCCAATCAGTCGTGAGTTCATGCATTTATCTGTCATATGCTTATTAATATTGTTATTATACATCAGACTGTGTTGATATTGTCCAGCTTAAGAAAGCGAGCTGTCTGTTATGTCCAGGTGGACAGGTCAGTCCATTCTCACCGCATCCTGGCTGCCCTCTCCCCATCGCGGTGCATGGTACTCCCATGCTCCAGGAGCCACTCCCTCATGTCACAGACGGACACATCCTGGGGGATCTCGTTCCTCTCCTGGAGGATGAGGAACTGCTTCACCAGCTCCTTCTGCAAGAGGAGACAGACAGTGAGCACGGGCCCTGGTCCTGATTAGCTATGACACAACAGGGGAGTTAAAGAAGCAAATGTAAAGATTGAAACTGTTTTAAGGGGGGCTCAGAAACATTGCTTCACTTTGTCTGAGCTCTGTGCAGATCCTTATTCACAATAGCACCCACATGCCCCTCTCCTGGGGGATGCACAGCAGGTCAGGGGTTTGAAGTGAGAAACTGCTGCACTACTGGAATGAAGGCAGGACACTGAGGTTAATGCCCCTGCTCTCTTGAAAAGTGCCCTGGGATCTTTCAGGACCAAGATGAAGCCTTGACCTACCTGCTGTTCCAAATAGCTCTTCTCCCAGTCGAGTTTCACTGTGGTCAGGTACTCCCGGTACTGGTTGAACTCTTTGGGGGTGCAGATAACCTCAAAAAACAGAGTCAGGGAAGAGGAACAGTGACTCACCAGGTACCATTAAGGCAGAACAGGAACATAATGATAAAAAATACGCTGGATTCAAAATGGAGGATTAAGAGACTAAAAATAAGCAGAATTACACAACCTTTTAGACATTTTCTGTTTCTAACGTTGTGCAAATTGCAATTTACAATCACAGAAAGATTATGTATTGTTTAACATAAAGAGAGTTATTCTTACTTTCTTGTGTGGTGTTATTAAGCCCCTTTTAACCAGAAGCCTCTGCCTGTTTCTGTTGTTGAAAAACTGCTTCAGGTTGGGGTCATGCAGGCTGTTGTAAGTAGAGTCAATCTGATGGCTGTTCGGATCCGTGAGCACGAAGCTGGCACTATCCTGATACAGCTGTAAAAGCAACACCCACACCTTAACCCACACCTGTTCAGGAACACCAGTGGGTGCAAAGTTGTCTGCATATTTTTTTATTTTTAAAATATACTTCATCTGAAAGTTGACCCCTGGACTGTGGTGCTGCTGAAGCCTTTTTGTCTGACAGTCAATTAATTTAAGGTCTCTGAAAGTCTTTTATTGATATTGCTTTGGAAAAAGTCATCATCACTTAGTGGCAATCATCACACTATGATTTACACAACACAAGTGAAAAAAACACCCATAAACACACACATATTACATAGATATTTGTGCACACTACTATATTATCACTGTATTAGAAGGATCTTAATCCTAGTGTAATGTGACAATATTGTTTAGAATTATTTTAGTTATTAATAAGAAACATTCTGGTTCAGAAATCAAAACCCAGAAGTGGAAGTGAAGATGTGTGATATCCAGGGCTGTAGAAGTAAAAAACGGGTATAATTCTGTTTGCGTTCTGGCTCCAGCATGTTACCCCATTTCTGCCCAATTCTCTGGGCAAGCAACATCAATATCCAATGTAGCCATTATCTCAGGCTTGTTTCTCTGGCAGCCTGCTAACAGGCCTCCCCCACGCACCCTCTCGCTGAGGTTGGTGGTGTAGAAGGTGGTGCGGACTCCCGGGATGATGGGGACCTTGGCTCCCAGGGGCAGCTCCAGCAGGAGGTGTTGCCCCTGTGCTCCGACGGGAGGATGAACAACCTGCGGCAATTAACAGTGACACCGACTTAGAATGGGCTTATTCAATTATTGATTGATTTCCCCCCCCTATGGCACAGATCAATTAGTAATGAACAAATCTGATACTTAGAAATGAATGTAGGGGTCTTTATAAAATAATTCATGCATTCAATATACTGTAGATTTTTTAATTATATTATTAGAGAATTAATCCAATAAAAACATGTACAGTACATTATATGATGATACTTTAATACGGTATATATAGTATATACTGTACATTCTCTCAGTAACTATCATTGTAATAATTATAATAGTGTGAGAATAATATGAATAATAAAATATAACAATTATATAATTATTATAATTAATCCATACAGAGTCCTTCCTGAAACTGTTGCTAAAATATTGTGTTAAATATTAGCCAGTTTATGAATATACACGGTTACATGTGTGACCTAACAGAAATCTGAGTATATCTGGCAGCCGCCCGTCTACGGAAGAAAACGAGTTAGTTTTACGAAGTCGTTGCGGTTACCAACTTTTTTATAAGAAGAACAAAAACCGATTCGAAAGTTACTCAAGTAAGAAAAAAATCGCTCCTCTATTTACCCTACACCTCTTCGACATTTTCTTTTTCGTCCATGTTTTCCGCCTTCCGCGCATCTCCTCTCTATACTGCTGCGCGTATGTTTGGGGGTCTCATATAAAAATAGCTGTGGACGCTACAGCAACCATTGTGACGTCATAACAAGCAAGAAAGACGTCAGAGGCATGTCGGGGCGAGGGGGCACGCCCGCACCCCGATGTCCACTAGGCCATTTCATTTTTCAAAGGCATTTTTCATTAATATCCCATCTTCCATCGTACCCCCAAAATGGACTTTTTCACATCCAAATAACATACGACGTACAGTAACACACGTTCCTAACACTTCATAATAATTTACGAATAATTCATCTAATGAATAACTCTAATCGGACAATAACGCCAACTACCTCCTGATGCTGCGGTATAATTATAATCAAGTCGTTTTGTACGCTACCTATATATAGAGGTTGCTATTTTTCCTATTATTAAAAAAAAAAACCTTATGTTGTCCACTTAAAAATGTAAGACCACAAAACACGTAAACATCAATGTTCAGTTTGGGACAGATTAACAAAGTATAGCGGAAGAACACTTTGTAATGGGATATACAGGTATCTTTAGTGGCAATGGTGCTGTTCTTAGCTGGGAATAATGAATAGGCACGAGTGAGACAAGTCAATTAAATGCCTCCCTCTGCCGGCCCATTTCAGGACTGCTATTTCTTAAATCAACGGTGTTACGAGTGACCGTATTAACTTACTACCTTGGGATATATACGAACACACGCCTATAGCACACCTGCACAGCTCGGATTGTGAGGGGCTTAACTCATCGTTTGAATTTTCAGTGGATTTTATTTCAGATCCGTACAATGCACTGATTCGGTTACCGAAAGTGTAACTTAAAATGTACCGTATGAAAGTGAACGATTGGTAAGCGGTTCCTACAACGTATGAAAAAAACTGCAACTGAAGCCCAAATTCGTGACTCACAGATCTGTTTTATCGCGGTAAATGTTTTAATTAGTTAGCCTTCATCCATCCAGATTTAGTTCGCTTTTGGTCTAGATGAGGGTCGTTGCCCACGGACGCACAATTCACACTCGTCTAGCACCGAAATCTACAGCTTTGAAGCTGCGAAGAATGTCATATCTTATTTGGACACTGTCTTCGATGTTCTTGACTTCACGAACACCAAGTTAATTAAAAACATGATTTATTCAGTGGACGGACGGACGGGCGGGCGGTTACCTGTCATGGCGAAGCCCGCGCCGCGAGGAGAAGCCGTTGAGACCTCCTGAGGGGGCTCGAGCTCGGCTCGACCCGTTTCCGTTGGGCTCGAGCGGTCAGCGCTGGCGCTGCCGTACATCCGCGACGGCCTTCATAACGGGGCGCTTTCCGTTTTTTTTTTACTCCTCTTAAAAACCGCCAACTTAACCCAACTTCGCTCCACATCTTTCAGTTTTCCGCCGTTGTGTCATGTTGTGTTCGGTTTGCGGACTACACACTGTGATGATCTGCCTGATTTTAACACATCACCTCACATAACTTACACAACGGCTATTAGGCTTGAAACCCGGGTGAATCTGAGTTGTAAGGGACGATATTTTTACTCTAACCAAGTAATCCTTAAACTATTGACGGCCCCAGTCTCGGCTAGCGTGTATTTCACATCCTGTTCATATACTGTAGCAGAGGTTGTTGAAGATGATACGCGCCAGTTGTATACCACCACACTCGGGCTCAAACACAGCACCTGTGTGGGGCAGTATCCTACAATAACATAGCATCGATCTAACAACGAAATCTTTATCTTTGAAAACTATCTACAACCTAAACGCAGCACTCGTCGGCGCAAGCGACCCCTCTGTTACCCGCAAAAGGGTTAAAAAAAAAACAGTACTCATAAAGCAAAGGCGAGTTTAAAGGAATGCAGGAGTAAAGCAAAGTCGAAATAAACTGCAAAAGCATTGCACTTTTCCATAAACGTATAGTAGGCATTTGTCCATCGTTCTTAAATGGCAAAAATAGCCAAACGATTTTTAACCCTCATACTACAGTTATTCCACGCGGTGGTTGTGGGCTCTTGTAAAAACGTCTTTGTTAAGGAAGCAGAGAAACACAAATTCAGGTAGACTGCGGAACAGTTTCAGAATTAATTCATTTATTTAGATACAGACCCTACAGAATGTCAGTATTTTATCAAATGAAAGCCGATGTAACGTTGAAGAGGCCGGTGCCTTCCCCAAGAGCAAAATGGCTCAACCATGTGTTGGTCTCTAGTGAGTATGCAGGGCGAGAATATTGAAATACAGGAACTTAAGAGAGTTAAGGAGCGAACGTATTGTGCAAAACTACCAACCATGATGTGGAAACGCCCTTGAATTAGATTTAAATAAGACTTTTAACCCATAACTAGTGTGTAAAAGATAAATACATGTGACCAAGCTTGAATTTAGATGCCAGTGTGAGAAACATGAATATAAAAATAAAATGGCGGAAGGCAGAGGCTCTTATTCGCGCACTTCCTCTTCCTCCGAGTCGCTGATGTCATCGTCGGAGATGTCCCAGTCGTAGCTCTGCTCCTCGCTCTCGCCCTGCTCCTGCGCCTCGGGGGCGGGCTCGGTCCCGGCCCCGGCCCGGGGGTCCTCCAGCTTGGCCCAGGACACCGCGTCCGCCTTGCGCAGGGTCACCTCCACCTTGCTGGGCACCATGCTGGCGAAGCTCTGGTCGACGTTGGCCACCTGCGCAGGGAACACCCCCAGCTTTCAGCTGCGCCGTTGGCCACCCCGATGCCACAGCTCAAGGGACGGGCCTCTCAAAAGCGCTGCTCGCCAGCCCCCGAGCTCTTTCACTGCTAGAGTTTATTTACTCAGATCTGTGTCCATCGCCTCGCCTTTTCGGCGAGAAGCGGTTCGATGGGTTTCGGAACTGCGCCTGACAGCGTCCGTTTAGAGCAGGGCTGTCCCCGTTCTGGCCCTGGGAAACATATGTGTCCGTGGGTTTTCATACCAATCCAACTCTTGATGAGCTAAACTCGCTGGTTACTGGGTTAACTGGATTGGTTTAAGGAGCTTTTTCCTATCTGTTCAGGTGGTGCTACTGCAGGGAGGCAGAAGACAGGCACAGACGCAGTGACCGGGCCTCCGGGACCAGAATCGGACAGCCCTGCTTTAATCTAAGCCCAATACAAGAGGATAGGCTCAGGGCTCCTGGTTGTTTGTTTTTTTCCCCCAAGGGAGACAAAATGGATCGGATACATGTGCCACTAATATACTGTACACGGGCATTAATATTATTCCTCGGTGTAGTTTTTAATACTCAAGAACAGCGAATGGAGGTTTTCTTTAATGGATAACATCACTTTCTCCTGAAGGCAGCTGACTCCTGGGACCAGAGACCAGAGAGCCGTTCCTGGCCAGAGCATTGTGGGTATTAGGAACACATTAGTAGCTACTAGTTTCTGGTGTCCCTTTAGGCCTTCAGGAGCCAAGAGAGGGCTATGGCAATTCGAAGAGTGACAGAGATTAGAATGGGCTTACTCTGCTTTGGAAATTGTGATTCTGGTACAGTCATATACGGGAAGAACTGGAAAGACAAGAGACTCACCCCCCACAGGTGAAACTCTTTGTGAAAGACTTTATCACCCTCAAACTGGATGTGAACCGTCATCTGGTTGAAACAAAGAACAATTAGGCAGAGTCAAAAGATAAAAACCAGGATGAGAACGTAAATGACTAATCTGGAAAAGTAGTTTGCCTTACTACAAGTGGCCTGAACTTCACTTCTACCTGAGTGGGACTCAGGTGGAGTTCCACAGAAAGATATTACATCATTTCCTTTAATGGGATATTATCTAGAAATACATGTTGGCTATCAGTTGTTATTTTTTGCGTCAGTAAATAAATATATTTCAACAGTTACCTCATAAATGACATCTCAGAATCTCAGATTACTGATTTATTCTTCGTGGATTTCTCCGACTTCCAAAACAGGCACCTTCATTTTTAAAACGATAAGTTAACTCCTCTTGGAAGACCGAAATCCCTCAGCGGAAGTGTTAAAATGAGGTTTTCCCTTGGCCCTGCTTAACGGGAGCCAGCCAGTTTTATTCCCCACTTACCACAGTGCGGTTAGCTTCGACATACGACTGGTCTGGCATGGTGTTCTTGGCGTACACTGTGACCACCACTTGGCTGCTTGTCTGATGCCAGTCATACCGACACGCCACGGTCTTCTTGTCCTGCAGTGGAAAACGGGCACCTCAGTACAGCACAGGGCAGCAGGCAGACTGCCGGAGCCGAGCCGCACCAAGCTACGGACGAGATGGAGAAAAACCCATCACCCCTGCCTCTCACACCCGGTCCGAACCGCACAACCAGGGCGTGTTTCCCAGAAGGGGCGAGGCTGCCGGCCTGTACCGGCAAGGCCAGCTGCTCCGGCAGTGCCTCACCTGCCTGGGGACCCATCTGTGTTTGCCGGTGCTGCAGCCCTTCTGGTCCAGGAAAGCGTTGAAGTCGGTCGTTTTGATGCAGCAGCAGCTCCAGTACTTGTAACTTGGAAGGACACACAAGGGACCCAGAGTTAGAGGGGTGACAGCCCTGGGGTCTCTCAGACGGGCGCTGTATAAATGGCCGACCCTGCGCTCTGACCCCCAGCTTCTCTCTCCCCGTCTGTGTGTCTCATGGAGAGCAAGCTGGGGTCTGCGTAAAGACGAATTCCTAATGCAAGAAATTGTATATGGCCAATAAAGTGATCTTATCTGATCTGATCTTACACCCTGCCTATCGAGGGCTTGCGCACAGTGGCACGGCCCAGGGAACTCCTCAGCTTTCACAGGACGTATGGCCATCCATCTCAAAAGAAAGCCGGAGATAAGTGTAACACTGCAGATATTTTCCTTTTTTTTCCTCTGACGTTTATAAACAAAAAGTTCAGCCAATGTTTGTTTTCATCAGTAAAAAAAGGCAGAATAGAGTATAATCTTCCGTGGTGATCTCACAATTAATTGTGAGGAGCAGTTTTCTTTAAGATTGCAGTCTAGACAAACACATTATGCAAACAATGTATCTGGTCTCTTCTTTCAGTGATTTTGCACGGTTGGATGGGGTGTCAAATCAGCAGATCTTACCCCTCGTGGAAGACGGGGACCCCTGGGTGGTGGTTGCAGGGCTCAGCGTCTGTCTTCGGGCCGTCGTAAATCTGAGGGCGACAGCACAGGGGTCAGCAAAGCCTGAGCTTATGCACAGCTGGCCCATGTAAGAAGGACCAGAGTGCCCTTAACGGTATGAAAATGAAAGCACTGTACGCACAGGTGCAGTTGGTGAGGTCGCAGAGCCCTGTCAGCATAGTGAAGGGCTGCAAAAAGCCACAGCACAGTTCAGTGAACATTTGAAGACCGGTTTAATCTATTATAAAAAGGCAATTTTTAGAGAACATCAGCACCAAATCTGCTGGTGTTCATTGATGCAATCAGTTCACCATCATCATATATACCATTATTTCCCGTAATCAGACAATTTAAAACTTGTGTCAATTAAAAAAAGTGTCATTTGTGTTGGATGCCTCAACTTTATTACTTGTTTTACCACGGCTTACCACATGGTGGAGACAGAGATCCACCACTTTCCCATTACCTCTTAGATCAATACAGTGATCGATGTGGCGAACTGTCTGCTGTGTTAGGCTCCAGTGGTGGCACGGCAGGATATATCTTGCATGTGTCCACCAGTCCAATGCAGGACACAGACATATCAGCACTATTTAGAGCAGCCAAATAACGCGGACAGCTATCAGTGCACTCTGGGAGGAAACCAGAGCACCCAGCAGAAATACACACACAGAACAAGCACACCCAGTGGAAGGGCCACCTACTCTAGAATCAAACCCAGGACCCGCCGGCGTCAGGCAGGCATGATAACTGTCATGCCATTATGCCACCCCGACAGAGCAAGCAAGTTCTCTTCAATCACGTGACACGCACTTCCGCAGAAGCTGTTAGGGTGCTGAGCAAATCAAGGTTTTTAATCTAAGTAGGTTTCAGCAACTATTAAAAAGAGCACCCTGCCAAGAAGCGCTCATCTAATCACTTCTCATTTTTGCAGATGTAAGATATGAACTATGTTTCTGTATTTAGCAGTGTGGTAGTGGCTTCGCTCCTGCATCATGGCAGTTGTTCTGCACTGAGATTTCTGTTTCCTTTTACACTACAAGAAGAGGGTGGCTAGTCAGCACGCCTTGTACCAGACGTTGTGTTCTCTTTCTTCTTTTTTTCAGCATGGAATAAACCTATTACTTGTTCCTAAGCATCCAAGTCCTGGTCGCAGTGCACACCAAGAATACAGAGCTAGACCAGTCCTGCATAGGTCTGTGGGAAGCAGAGAATAATCTACTTACTTACTAGTGTATTTGTCTGATGTATGTATCCAGACTGACTGATATGCACCCTTACGTTTGTTTTATATAGCTGGGAATTTTACTGGAGGAGAAGAACCTTCCTCGGGGAGACGACAGCAGTATCTCGCTTGGGATCTGAACCCACAACTGTCCAGTTACAAGTCCAGGCACCTAACCACTGCCCCACCCTGCTGCTGTTACAAAGAATAACGAGTAAGTTCGTTTTAAGTTCAACTCTCCGCTGTGTAGCAGCTCAGAACTCCTTTGAAAAATGAATGATGATAATTGCGTGTGCACGGTGCTTTTCCGCCCAAAGGATCGCAAAGCACCTCACCAACCGGAGGGCGCCCCACTTCCTCCAACCCTGGCAGCAGGGCTGCACAGCAGACCAGACCGAGAAGGGAGAGGTTGCTTCCCCAGCTGAAGTAAGGGATCATCTTGAACAGATCAGATTGTTCACCCTTAAAAGTGGAATTCTGCCAGGACCCAGTGGTTAACATTCCTACTCTTTCTAACAGTGCCTTGGGATCTTTAAAGAAAAAAAACAGTAAGGACTGTAGTCCAACGTCTCATCACCTTATTGTCGTCACACTATGTCATTGGTATAGTTATTCTAGAAATCGGGTTTAAGTTTATTGACGTAGCAAATGACATCGTATGGGAAGAGCGCCCTCTACTGGCCCACCAACACGACTTCCAGCAGCAGCCTGGCTTTCCTTCCAGCTCCCCCCTTCCTAGTCCTGACCAGGCTGAGACTCGCCCAGCCTCCGGCAGACGAGGAGAGCTGGCCACACGGGGGGTCAAGCTGCTGCCTACACGGAAAAAGCCCTGCGGGTCCGGAGAAACGTTCGGAAGCCGCGCCCCTTCGGCGGGGCGTGCACATTCCCGAGCAGCTGACCTACAAACGCGGAAAAGCAGACCCTGGGCCTCCCGCGTCATCCCGTCACACGAGGAAACCGGTCCACTCCGTCACAGTGTCCACTCCATCCACTCCGTCACAAACCGCCGAGGAACAGTTTCCAACCAGCTGAGCAGCCCCGAGGCTCCCCCAGGCTGCAAACCACAAGGCCCCCCCCCCCAGTCCCACCCACCGTTTTGCACCCGGCGTTCTTGCACCTCGTGCCCTGGGCCACCCCTGCGCCGTCTGCGGAACAGAAAGAGGAAAGAGGGAGAGTGAGGGAGGGGAGGAGCAGGAAGGCAGCAGGCAAGCCCGGGTCTCGTGAAAGAGGGGGCTAAGCACAGCACAGGAGAGACGCAAGGGGGGGGGGTTATTCTGCCGTCACATATCCTGTTTGTCCTCGGCCTTTTTTGTTGACTACTGGCTTTCAGAGATTTCCAGTACCTGATAAGTACAGCTTGGAGCAGTAGCATGTCAGCACTTCTGGTGACCACAAAGACACTAGAGGACCTGGGGGGAGGGCTTCCAGGATATATCTTTAAATTTAGATTAGGAAGCCCTGCACGTGTACGTGGACATCTCTGTAAATCCACAGCATTTAACTGAACACGGCTCTCCGCCTGTAGAAGCTCTTG